TGAGTCTAACATCGTATGCCTGATGCCTCATTGGTTTAAAAAGGGCCCTTTCCTTTCCTTTTACTATTTTATACCCAAATTAGCACTCAGTGGGTGATGAGGTCCACATCAAGCTAGCCGCCTTCATTTAATTCAGACCGTTTCTGTATGAGTCGCATCATGAAAACCACTGGGACCTAACCACATATAATATCTTTTTCTTCTTCAGCATTCTGAGCCCTTGAGGTTCATTGCTGCTGACATCACCCGCCTCCATTCATCTCTCTGGTTGGCCTTCTCTTTCCAGTTGGTGACACCAAGTGTTTGCAGGTCTGTCTGGACATTATCTCTCCATCGTTTTCTTGGTCTGCCTTGTGGTCTTCGACCATTCATCTTCTTTGTGTATACAGTTTTCACTTCTCTGTCATCTGACATTTTGCTCAATATGCTCCAACCATTTCAGTCTATTAGATCTAATGATGCCAGTTATCAATGGTGATTTAAACCACATGAAAAAAAAATTTAAAAAAAAGCATTGGATGCAAGCAGATAACCTCCATTCTGGAGATAGCAAAAGATGTATTTATTTTTATCTACACTTGAAGGACATTAGCAGTCTGTGAGTAATGAACCTCAAGGGCTCAGAATGCTGTTGAAAAAGAAGAGGATGAGGAGGAGAAAAAAAAGAAGGCCATGTATTTTATGGAACTGGGCTTAGATGAACGACCATTCATATCCTAACAGCACAGGTTAAAGAATCAGTGTGAATCGCTTTGTCCAATAATTAAGTTCTTCCTCTACTTTTCTGCGTGTGTCCTTAAAAGGGTACGTGAAACGTGTTGTCGTTTAAAAGCTAGGCTGTAATATATGCACCTTTTCACCCACAAATCATATCATAGCAAAAATGTTGCTGCCTTTTACGACATGCTTATTAAGCAACTGGGTCTATTTAATTCCCTTTAACCCCCCCCCCCCCCCCCCCACCAATGGGGGTCAAAAAATTGTGTAAGGAAGGTATGCCAAATCCAAATACATGCACACATATAAATATTCAGTGACCCCCCCCCCCCCCCCCCCCCCCCCATGTCAAAACTGTTTTAAAATGTACATAATTTTAAAAGAAACACTTCAGACTTAACACACAATGAAACAAATTATACATATTAACTGTAATGTCCAATCCTATACACAATTATTACACCCCGAAACAACTGACACAACTGCAAGCCTAGTCATTTTACATCAATTTTGTAATAAAATTTTACACTTCACTAATTATGTGGGGAAATATATAATAAACTCAGCAATTGTATGTGCATACCATACTTCAGGTTTGATCATTCTAACTACACAGCAAATTATGAAAGGTTTCAGTAAAGATATGCTAGTTATTTGGTGTTGGGTAAATTTTTAAACAAAAAGCATAAGAAAACGGGGAGGTGGAGGTGCGTGTCTGGGCAACCAACCTTCATCAGCAAAGTCTACACCGTAGGTGAGTGAGGCCTATAGTGCTAGATTTGTATACACTAATCAACACTCTGCCAGCTGCCTTGACTTCTCAGCACATTATCTGGTAACCATATTCAGCCTGTTGTGGGTTCCTGGACTCATTGTTCTCCTAAAAAGCACATTGAAGGAGGTGAATAATTAGGGGTGTTTTCTTCAAAGTCAAGTGTCCTGCGTGAGAGATAAGGAACCTTCAGTCTACATACAAACAAGAACTTTCCGCTGTAAATCACAATGTTGAATTAAGAAGCAGCATCATAGAACTTGCGAAACCCCGTTTACGCTCCGTTATCATCTTCAACGGCAAGTGAAGAGTTCCAATTCTGATGGCACTAACAACCGTCTGACTGTATATCTGTCTCGACTTTCCCTTGCGCGTCAGCCAGATCTCCTGGAAACTCTTTGCAGCGCCACTCTCCTCAGACCATAATGATCTATTTGTGCTTCCGCACTGTTCACTCGCTCCCAAAGGGCCCTCACAACATCTAGCTTGTCATACGTCACTTTACCAAGTGGTGCAGAGGTGATCAGTTCCCCTGCCTGCTCATTTCCCAACACACCGGCATCACCTGGAGAAAATATCCAAAGTACGCTAACTACCCTGAACCTGTGAAGTGATGCTTGCCTCTCTGCAAGGAGCAAGCTTTCACTTTTCTCAACATGCTCTGTGAGTGAGTTACAAATATGACATGTGTACAGCTGATTCTTAAACCAGCATAAGGCAGCAGTGACTGCCTCCACCTAAATTCTCAAACTAGACGTTGCAATATATGTCAGGCATTGTTGCACTAAACGACATTCATTCGATTTAGCTATGAACTTCATGATCTTTGTCTGCCTCTCAAACCATTTGAATAGATCATCACATCACTTTGGCAAGAATTGTCATGAATCATTTGTTGAACTTCTGAATCGGCAGCATCAGCGATCAGTCCCTGCACTCATGACCTAAAGTGATTAGAACCCTAAACAAGTCTTATTCTTGCTAGGAAACTTTGACCCACTCCTCTCCTATTCCAAATTTATCAAGCTTGCACTCATGTCTAACGATATCTTCAGCTTGTGCCATCCAAGACCTTCCTCTTTTCAATCTCTGACCCTTAGCTCTACCCAGGGTTTTATGCAAGAGGTGCTTCTAGTCTGCAGTTACTCTGAAATGTGACTTTGCTTGCAGAACGTTGAGCTTATCTGCAACAGTAGGCAGTGCAAGTATATATCACATACAAACTACCAGGGTATGTCTTGTACATCTCAGAATTACCCGCATGGCTTCATTCTGTATGCATTCAAGGTTCATCAGCTGATTCTTTTATATGGTAAACATTCCAAGTCCATAATCTATCATTGACAGGATCACATGCTGGAACATTGTGAACAGGATTCTTTGTTCCATATCTATTGCTGCCATAATCTTGAGAGCATTGGGTCCTTTTTTTTTTGGCATTTTTTCAAACCGCAACTGCCTCCACATGATCCTCAAAGGACAGGCTTCTACTGAAAATGATACCCAGGTACCTCAGTTTGCTTTCTCTTTAGATGCTTCTGTCATTAATTGTGAGGCTTGGAACATTAGCTCTTACAATTCTATAGTCCAGAGAGTTGATTATACACAATTTTTGAAAAAAAAATTGCCTTAATGCGGAGTTAAACCATAAACCTTTGCACTGGCCTAGCCACTAAGCCACCATACATAAGGGAGTATACCGGGTTTATGGTGCCAGATTCACATTTTTTGACCAATCGGCACTCAAAAAGTCGTGTAATCAATATAACACAAGCCATTTTTACTTCTTAGAAAATTTCCCAGGCTGAGCTATATGTATCTACACGAAAACTTATGGCAGGAATGAAAATTTCCAACTGGAAGGGCAACTGAACCTATAACCACTGGGTGGGCAGGCAGGCTGCCAAGTTGGAGATTCAAACTCAGAACACTGTCCTAGAAGGTAAATGTACCAGCCACCAGTGTGTATTCATCGTATGGAATTTAGCCTACCATCTGTTTAAACAGTAACAAATTAACAAATATAAATAGGAAACTTTATGAAAGAATACAATCACACACCGTTATCTGATGGCACTTTCCTATTTAAAAAAACCAACAGTTATTTGACTTCACATTTGTATTAATTGAATAGAAAGCCTGTATGTATGCCTAGAAAACAACTGATGACCCAGATACAAAAGAACTGTCATCTGATTGGTTCAATCCTAAGGTATCTGTGTGCACAATATGAACATTTTCGTTCACTGAATTACAAAGATTTTTACTGTCTTATTTATGTTCCTTTCAGTCGACATGCAATTATCTCTGTTTGTTTTATTTTCATTAGTAGTAAAACACCATAACTGCATTTGTTTTTTTTTTCATTTAAACAGTATGGTTAAAATACACAAGAACAAACAAACAAAAACAATGCATCCCGAATCAAAACATTTGTTTGTATTTTCTTTGTGTGTGCTTATTTTGTCTGTTTTTTAAAAGTTAAACTTTGTGTACATTTATTTTGGTAGTGTAACAGCAATCTCTCCTATCTCTATTATTTTTTCTTGTTGCAACATATATATATATGTGTGAATCACAGACTTTTCTGAAATCACAAAACTGTTGAAAAGATCTGAAGTGAAAGCAAAAGGTCACCCTAGGAGAACATGGACTGATGACATTAGAGAGCTTCTATATCAACACATGACAGTAGCCATTGCTGCTCATCAAGCAATGGATTGCAAACTGTTTCTCTACACAACGCTTAGCGATAGAAGTGGAAATTGAGAATGATGATGACAAAACTATGTGTGCGTGTGAGAGAGAAAGAGAAGGGCAGAGAGAGGGGGGGGGGGGGGAGAGAGAGAGAGAGAGAGATAAAGAAAAAGACAGAGAAAGAGAGAGACAGATGTGTAAAGTATCCTAAATCAAAAACAAGAAAAATACAGACATCCTTCTTGATTTGAATTTGTTTTTTTTTTAAAATGGGGTGGTTTGGGGGGGGGGGGGGGGGGTTTTGGCATGTTTATTATGTCAAGGTCTATGGCTTAAGCAGTTAAGCAGTGTGAACGAGCTTCATAATTCCAAAACATTGGGAGCTCTGGACACAGGACATATTGGGCGTGTAAGTTCACGAGGCAGCACAGCTAGCATAGGACTAAGTAGATTTCCCAGGTGCCATGATTAGAGCACAAGTCTGCAAATGACCTGCTACATGATGACTGTTACAGCCAAACACATCTTGCCGATGCCAATATCTTTCTAGTAAGCTCAGTCCCCCCTCCCTTACATGCAGGGGTTATGTGAAGAAGTAGTACCAAAAAATATATATATATATACATATCTTGTAATCAAATTCTCATAAATATATTAAAGACATAATGTTGATTGGTATGCTGAACACAATATTAGCATCTGCATATTTATATTTTCAATTCCAGCCGGTCAAATATACTCTGCATTTTCAATAACAACAAAATGGGAAGAGCATCATGAGTGACTGGGTAACAAAGGCAACTAACTTTACAATTCAACATTCCAGATTTTTGTTGAGGAAGATCATTGTGTTAACTTGATCTGACTGAATCTGCTCCCGTCTCTTGGCGATCAATTCACCTTCTTTCGTGAACAAACGATTAGAGGCCGTGGCGGTGGCTGGAATGCAGAGGTACTTCTGAGCAAGCACTTTTAAATGAGGGAACTGAACTTCATTGAGTTTCCACCAGTTTAATGGGTTCGCATTTCTAGGGATGTTGGCTTCTTTGAAGTACCTCCGACATTCATTCTCTGCTTCAGATGTTGAAGTCTTCATAGCACCAGCCTCCGAAACTTTTCGGTCAAACATATTCCAGAATGAAGATACAGAACTATCTACTACAAATGTAGAACTATCCCCACCCAAAGTTTGTGTGTCCAGGTTTTGAACCACTGCAGCGATTTCATTGAGAAGACGTTGCTGGGCAAGTTCCAGAGCCGAGGCATCTGTGAATGCATGGCGCTTGAATCGAGGATCTAAAAGAGTAGCTACGGCAAGTTTGTAATTATTTTCCACATTGGTGAACTGTGCTTGCATCTGTGTGATTAAAGCATTCTTCAGGGCAGACTGTGGTCCAGGCAGAGTGGTGATGCCAGCAGAGGTGACCTGCTGCAGCAAAGTGGCAATGGGAATCACCTTTGACATACAAGTGTACTGTTCCGTGCACAGCTCTCTTGTGGCGGCTTCAAAGGGTCTCAGAACCTCGATGACACACCGGATCAGCTCCACCTCATCATCACACAGACACATGTGATCTTTCCCCAGAAAGCAAAGAACTGTATTCACGGCTTCATACTGCTCCACCATGCGCTCAAACATGATATAAATGGACATCCAGCAGCGAGGGCTCTCCTGCTTTAGCTTGTGAACCGGCAAACTGTGCTGTTGCTGGACTGCTGAAAGGGTGTCCGAGGCTTTGATGCTTTTCTCAAAATAGGTCACTGCATCACTGGTCTTCTTCTGTACCCTCATCAGTTCGGCCACAGACATCAAAGCATTCATAACCACTTGGTTCATGGTGTTGCCAAAGCAAGCAAGTTCCTCCCATCCGTTGATCAATGTAGCGCTGGGGATGACATCATCCACCGTGTTTGCTATCAAGGCAATTATTCGATCAGAGATCCCCCACTCATCTGTGATGCGCTTGAAGCTTGTAGCAACATTCGTTTCTAAAATCAAAAGCAGAATTGTAAACTGAATTAAACATGAGAAAAGGCAAAATAACAGTATAGTGCATTCAAATCTAAAATTCACAACAATTCATCCATTGCAATACAATCATCATGTGCCCTGTCTTCAGGCAGACATCCATACCTCCCCATCGATCGATATCGATCCTTGGTGTTATGGATTAATTCCACTGCCGAAATTCCTTCAGGCATCATATGATCCAGCACTTTTCTCTCAGCATCAGCTAAGCCGATCCTTCCAGTCATCATCTTGGTCTCAATAACTCTTCTTTTCAAATGATAAAAGAATACTGGTCATCTCTTTCTTATAGTTCTATAGTTGCATTAATTTGTCTTTTTCAGCAACTGTTGTTAGTTAAGCTGGCTATCCAATGTATTCACAATAGGCTCTAGGAACCACATCTATGCTGCCTCCAAGCACTTCCTGCTGTTTTTTCCCCATTCATTTTCCAAGGTTCACTGCCTAACTGCACAACAGGTTCCACATAATTTTCAAGTCCTCTTTTTCTGGCAAAATAAAACTGAAAGAAAAATTGCATTACATAACACACTTGTAACTCTGAAATGCAGCGTTTGGTTTGGCATATACAAAGATCAGGGGTGAGTGTGTGGAAATAAGTGAAATGTGTGGATCAGTTAAGAGACAGGCAACAGTGTTGAAATCTGAGACTTGGATCAGAGAATAATCTGAGATGAGTTGAGTCTGGGATCTTAGAGACTGCCATTAAGTGACAATCTGGGATCAGGAGAGAATATGGGATCAAGTGTGAGCATCTGAACTCAGGGGTGAGACTGGGATCAAGAAAGAATGCGTGAGATCAGTGGTGAGAGTCTGGGGTCTAAGAGACTGCTATTAAGTGACAGTCTGGGTGGGATCAGGAGAGAATCTGGGATCAAGTGTGAGCATCTGAACTCAGGGGTGAGACTGGGATCAAGAAAGAATATGTGGGATCAGCGTTAAGAGTCTGGGATCAGAGGTGACAGACAGGGAGATCATGGATGATATCAGTCGATGTTAGCTATTGTTGTCAAAAGCAAGTGATATTGAATGAACAAGGCTGCAATGAATCTGTTAACAAATGCCAATCACTGACACCTATTGTCAGCTACTGGGGCTAGATTAAATTAAATTAAGACCCGACATCACAGCACTGGGGACATTCCCTTTAGGTGCTCCGTCTCCATCTTCAGCGTCCAGCGCAGAGTTCCAATTCTGATTGTATCAGGCTAGATGAGCAATATTAAAAATAAAACTCATCGGAGCTTTCGTGCAGTATTCTGCATCAAGGACATGAAAGCTCATATACCTTTTGTATGTTTTATGAAGGCAAACGGAGTGACATCAGTCACAATGGGAAACCGACGGAATGTTGACAGGACACTTGGGACATGGTCTGTTTTGGTGTCCATTTGCGCTGTTGTGTCTGGAACAAATGATAACAGTAAGATAAGAGTGATTATCAATAAGGTGCCATCTCCACTGTGGATCTCCAACACTATATCTCTCATCCTGGTTATTTACTCTCTCAAACTGCAGCTGGTCCATCTCTTGATGTTACAACTCTCCATCTCTTGCTCACCTGCCTTCACATTTCCCTTTTTTCATAGTTTCATAAGTGTCCGGCCGCAATGCCTTTTAATGCAAAATATTTCACTTGTCTCTTTTTTTCCTTCAACAACTATTTTATTCTAGTCTCTTCAGAATATCTTTCTTTATACTGGCTTGACAGCAGTCACTTCTGTTTTTATCACTTTCCGATCCTCTGTAGTTAACTATATGTGTTTTCGTTAAAAAAAAAAACCTATAACAGTAATTATGGACTTCGTTCACTCCACAGCCATTTAGGACAATTGATCTTGGTGTTACGAGACAGAGCACTGCATTTTAGCAGACCATGCTGTACCTAGTTTCTGGATTGTATTCTACAGATTTTATTTTTCTCTTAGTATGTTGTAGCACCTAAAGTCTGTATCCAAATATCTGTACTTTTAGCTACTGAATTTTCAAATATTGAAAATATCTCTCTTGGCCCACATTTGCGTTAAAGAAACTTGTGTCATTAAAGGACATTCCCCTTTCAATCGATCAGGTATTATTTTCACAATGAGGTTTTATGCAGGAGATATCAAACTTGCTCTATTTTGACTTAATGGACTCTCTTTCACACAGCTGTTGTCTATTTCTTGATGTTATCCTCCCACTTGTATCGCTGTTTGCCTCTTGCTCACCTGCCTTCCAAATTTTCTCTTTCATCATCATCAGTCAACAAGTTCTTTACAGAACATCACTCTCTTCATGGCACACCTGACGTATCCCTTTCCTTAGCCAGCTCTCCAGCCTCACGTGCTTTTAATGCCAATGCATCTTCAACGTTCTGTATCCATCTTCGCTGAGGTCGACTCCTGCCTTGCTTTCCACAGACTGCACATTCCTTTCTCTTTAGCTTGATTTATAAAAGTGTTGTTTAATATGGCAAAAATATTTCATGCCTTTTTTTTTTAAATCTCATTCAGAAACGATTCTCATTCCTAACCTCTCCTGAATCTTTCTATTAGTTATTATTTTAATTAATGACATAATTTGAAATCAAATATCATAAATTAAAAAAAATACAGTTAAATCAATGATTTACTGTAAATAAATAAAACAGATAATGAACTGATCAAGCAAATCTCACCTGTCTTCTCCTCTGTGCAGTCCAAAGTCTCCAGAACAATACTGCACATCTCCCAGGACTCTTTGATAAAATGAGCAGACACGGTCATGAAAGTCTGCACCTCATGGTAATCCCAAGACTCCACTGTCAGGGCAAAGTAGGAAGCAATTACCACATCCAGCTTGATCTTGTGCTTGGTCTCCTCCGCCAACTCCGGCAGCAGGCTCCTGGTGATCATTTTCTTAGACGGAAGGTCAAAACGAGAGTCGAGGGTGCGGACAAATTCTCGGAAGCCTTTGCCACTGACAATGCTTGGAGGTAGAAGATCCACTGTTATCATTTTCAGTAATGATCTCATCATGGTCTGTTTAACTTTCTCTGTGGTGTACGGCTTTCTCAGATTGGGAGATGTACTGGTGTTGTTATTATTGTTGTTATTGCTGAGTAATAACGATGTGTCTTCGGCTTTCACAATTGGGGCAGCTGGAGTCTGAATCATGGACTTGGGCCGTCTGCCTCTGATTCCTGTTCTGGGAATGGGCCTGCCAGATTTGGCCTTGAGTTCTAGGTACAGTTCCATTTCTGCATCTCTTTGACATTCTGCTTCTTTGTACGTAGTTGGGTGTTTGACCCGCAGATGTTTGAACAGGTTGGATGTATTGTTGGCGTGGTGGCAGGTAGCTTGGCACATCCGGCACTTGGCTCTCTGTGACTCTAATTTATCAAAGTAATACCAGACCACACTCCGGGGACGTTTAGGTCCCTTATTGCTTTTGTGTGGACTCAGGATGGAGATAGGGTCAGCCATGACTGGCAATTCTCGAGTGCGATTTCTCGTATTCAGTTTGTAGCTTAAGTTACAAAATTAACTAAGTCAATTGTTCCACATACCAACACCACAAAGTATAAGGAAGCTTATGTGTCACTAATAACTGAAATTTGGATAAATGCAACAGGAAAAAACATGTATATAGAATAAAATATATGCACACAGTAAATCAGTAATAAATAACCATATCTACAGACTATTAGCAACTTTGGTGGAAATTACAATTTAAAAATAGGTATATTTTAAAAAAAAAGCTTTAAAGATCCCAGTTGGTAATTACTTTTAGAATTACTAAGTACACATAATTCAATGCTCATGAGCAATCAAGGCTAGCCAGTCAGTATATTTACAAATTGTCAAATCATTTAGGTAAGTCTTCATAATGACATTCATTTTTGTGATACATCATAATACGCAATGTAATAGACTGCAAGGCATCGTATTTGTGTCCGAATTATTTTGGTAACTAACACACACACACAAAAAGGCAGTAGTTAAAGTGTGATGCTGAATACTTCAAAATGAAACTTTTAAAACAGATTCAGCAATATAGGCATTAAACTTTAACTATGTCATCTGTTTTTCTTCTTATTCTTCGCATTTAAACTAAGGTGGAAAGTTTGAATTGATTCCACCTCCTTTTTAGTCTTGTTCTGGAACATGAGTGTTGCATTGCAGCACATCTGTTTTACAGATCTGACTTATGTGTTTACAGATTGTTGGTTACTTGCCTCTCAGACAGATGCACTCTTAACTTCTAAGGAAGCCCTCAGTTAGCTCCTTCGACATGATTGATGGGGAGGCAGTGGGTCTATTCTTGTTTTCCCTATCATGGGGCCCCGAAACACACATAAGCTATCATCTGTTTTTGATTGGATTCATTTGGGTAAGACATCTCGTTTGAAAGACTATTAAGTATTGAAAAGTGATGGAAGAAGATCTGCATTTTACTAGGTCACAGATGTATGTGATGAGACAAGTTCAATGAATAAAAATTTGCCTTTGCCTTCACCGGTCACAGCAAAGTTAGATGACAACATTGATCAACTGGTAGTGGCAGAACTCGTAATAGTTTTAGCAGCAACAATAAACAGCAGTAGCACCAGCAGAACAATACTAGCTGTGAGAGAAGCAGCAAGAGAACCAATTGTATTACAGAATAAAAAGAATAGTAGTAACACAGGCAGAGATGGGACATCAAAGCTCCTGATCTTAACGTTGCAATCCAAAACTGAACCTGCATCATTCAGAGCACAAGGCAATTTGCTTAACCACACTGCAACGAAGACCTTTCTCACATTCACATGATGATAATCCAACCATGCATGTCTCAATGTGTTTACATGCTATTCTCCAATCAGTCCTCTCACCCTGAGAACCACAAAACCCTGCACTTCCAGTTTGTGCCATAGCCCCATAAATGTCCCTTTCCTGGCTTGCTACAGAGGCTTGTTTACGAACAACGCAGTTTAAAATAAAATAGCAATTAGATGGAGTTTCCTTGTGGAAAATGACTTTATTTAGAGAAATTAGAGTATCAATTTCCCATCAGTTACAGTGGTAACAGGCAGCCAGGTCAGATAGTCGAAAAGTATGACATCACGTTAAATATTTTTTCAAAGCTCGTTAAAAAAAAGTATCCATTCAATTCTCTGCACCGATTCATGTTTACTGATTACTCTATTTTGTTTGCAACTGAATACTGTTGTGGTCCCTAAACGAATATGTATATTTTTTTTCTTTTTTTTTTTTATTAATCTGTGTAAATTGTGAGGTTTTTAAAAAAAAACATTTTTGTGAAAACTTGAAATCCCCAAGGACATATTTTTGGAATTGTGTTTTCCAGGTCACCAGGACAAAAAAGTTAAAATTGAAACACAAGATAGATTTATTTATAAATAGCTAACAATATCTAACAAAATAAATGGTGTGCAGGTAAAGTCATTGAAATACCACGACATATGAATTTCTGTGTAATTTGGCACTTTAAATTATAAACTGTAATCAAACGAAGCCCAAAATAATTCAAAATGGTGCAAACAGTTGACTGGATAGATATAGACTAGTAGAAACAGCAGTAATAAAAAGTAAAGGACCCTTACAATGTGCCATAATTTGTGCTATTGGCACATCGGGTATATTTTAATATGGAGCTAGGCTAATATTTTTTTGATCAATCAGAACTTGAAAGGTGATTGTTGTAGTATTAATTAAATGATTTAAAAAACCGGCTCTCCTCTGAACGGCATCATTATATTATGGCGGCCATAAAATATCCAAAAAATATCCTTACGGGGCTCAGTTCTATTAAAAAATATGCCGGCTCCGTATAACGAAACAAATGCTCTAACAGGGTCTCAGTGATATGTTACTTGCGGACCTGTTTCTGTGACTATGCCTCACCGCCGGCCGTATCCCCCGCGCCGATACGCACAGCGCGGATGGGGGCTAAAGTAGACGGCTAGGACTCACTAGCAGCAGCTACCGCATCTCCTGCAACTTCCTCCAATTAATTTGCTCATGAGTCCCAGGGACCTAGTTTAGCCCCTCATCCGCGCCGCGCGTAGCAGCACGGGGGATACGATCGGCGGTGAGTGTAATCGCGTATTGCGCATGCTAAAAACCATACCAGTTTATCGCTCATTACTCGATACGGGTCGGCAGGTCTGACATCTACCGCTGCTAAATCCTCAATCAGAAGAACAGTATTGCTAATCTGCTTTGAAGCTCGTGGTTTACCAGCCATATCGCTTTCATTGTCTGAAATGTCTCGAAATTGTAAACGGTCGCTATTATCGTCTGCTAGTATCGTCTGCAGACATGCTCGAAATTGTCAACGGTCGCTATTATCATCTGCTACTACCACGTGCAATGTTGCGTCTGTTGAAATTGTCAAGTAATCGTAGTTTTGCTGTGATTTGTTCCTTGGCAGAAAGTTCGCATTTTACATATGCCTGAGCCCTGTAAGGATATTTTTGGATATTTTATGGCCGCCATAATATTATGACGCCGTTTGGCGGAGAGCCAAAAAACATCCCTGCTGAGTTTTCGGCTCTCCTGTAAACTACAGCCGGTAGACAACAGTAGACGGCCGATAGTGTGATAGTCGGAGTTCTGTCCCTTGGTTTCGTTCATGAGCTGAAGTTAAGAGTGATTACAGTGCATCAGCATAAGCGGCAACGGAATCAATCAACAGTCTTCTTTAAGAATACAAACAAAAAAAGCCACATCTGTAAAACGGATGTACACGCAAAATTCAAGTTTTAAAACAAGACTGAAGTCCAAAAATGGACGAACAACTAATCACTCTTTTCACTAGTCACTAGAGTTTACAGCCACTAGAGGGGAAGAAGAATAGCTCCATCTATATCGAATCCGCTGCGATGATGATCATCGTGCGCCCTTTATAAGTAACTAAAGCAGTGACTTTTACAGGACAGTTGCAGTGTAAATGAACTAAGTGAATAAAATAATAATACTTCAAAATTTGTATTTTTTTTCTTACTTGTGACGCGATGGGAGCCAGTGCCTGTTCAACAGACCGACATCTGACAAACTTCTTCATCAAACATTCCAATACATCCATAATTGCCTTGCCTTAGTAAACTTAGCTCTAGTTTTATTCTAGTCAAGTACAGTAAGCTGTCCTCTTTTGCAAAGGCAATAGATTTCACGTCTTGTAACCCTATACTTGATACTATTTCGCTAAACTATGCTACTTTTTGTGGACTTCTCTCCGTCTGAACAGTTTTCTGGCGTCTGCAAGAGAAGTATTTGTATCGAATCCACAGCGACAATCACGGTCCCGACCGTGTCCACCCAACATGGCTGATCGATACCTTGATTGCTCATGTGCATCTTCTACCACGATACTCGGCCTATATTTCCATTACTTCTTAATTAACGTGGTCTAAAATCATTAAAACAAGAATTATATTAACACAGAAAGACAATTCAGCACTTTAAAAGCAATAAAAGTTGATGAAAGGTGAAAAATATCCTTGAACAATGAGACTCTTGGTCGATCAATATGGCGTCTGTTGGTAAGACGTTGGTGACGTCACTGAACTAGGTCGTGGGGACGCGTATGAACATGGCGCCAGGGAACTAGTTCTTTTCGTATGCTAGTGCCAATTGACTCACTTAAGAGAAACAAATAAGAAAAACATCATATCAAACTCTTCATTCTGTTAGATTCTCACCCGTTGATACATATTTCTCACCTGGAGATAGATATGTACAATACTTTGAAATCGATACTGTTAATATCTACTACTAATATGATCTGTGATGTATCGTATCGCCACGTGATTGTCTGGTAGATAGTATCGCCTACCACCGCCCTCTCCCCCTTATTGTTCAAACTCGATGAACTTTGTTTTACTTGTAAAAAATATTTTTACACAATCATTATTAAATCTAGATAATATTTGCATATTACCTTTGAAAAATATCCAGAACAATAAACAGATCTAAGCAGTGTCTTAAAAAAGGGGCGTCACTCCATACATTTTTTAATTGCGCCATCAGCTAAATCTGCAACAATGATTTCACTACAAAACAGCAAGTTAAAAGGGGTGAGCCCAAACAAGAGCACTATGCAGGAAATCAAATAAGAAGAACGAATCAACACAGAACTGGTGTCCACGGCCACTACATGAAGTGGGATTTGCAGAGGAGGAGATCTTCCTACCTGAGTGATTCGCTGGGCAGTGAATGGTGATCATGATCAGTCGACTACCATTTGGATTATCTGTTAATTACGCTCTTAGATCAACTGTTAACTGCTATATAACACAATAATAGTCGTTGTAAGCCAGAAGGATTTGCAGGATATTATTTGGCCTCACCTACCCAGGATAGAAAGGTACACCAGGATACTTGTTGTAGACTTAGGATGTCCTATTTATAAAACACATACTTTTTCACCCATCCACACTGGACTGCAGGCCTTTGGGGGACTGGGTGGTCTCGAGTGC